AGTACACGAGTGGTCTGAATAGAATGAAAAGGGTCCTGATAAAATTAGAAATTTAAGCTACAGCGTTTGCAGTCTGGCGACGGAATTTTTCCATCTAAAAGTAGAGTAAGACCGACTGCTAATCTTTTGTTATGTATTGAAAATCGACCTGTTATTTGAAGTTAATGTTAAAAAAATTGAAGCAATACTAAACCGAGGAATTAACATTGCATTCCCTATAATTATAAATATTTATTAGGCAACGTTTGCGACACTAATGCTGCCGTATTATAATTTTTGATGTCTTTTGAACCAATTAACGCAAATGAACTCTTCCAAACCGTTGAGTTATGTTCTTTATAAAGCGTAAATGGTGACCTCTTTAACCTAAGTTTCAGTGCCCGATAAAATTGGAATTTACATTTTGAAGTTAAATAGGTATGCAGGCTCATATTAGCGGTAGATCTAAACTTATCCAATCTTTCAGCATACATTTTAGTTTTAGATTATAAAAGCATGCACAGTTTTGTTTATTGAGTAAAATGCTCATAAAGATACTGTAGTCAGAAGCATTTTGAGTTTTCCATTGATCTCCAACTAATGTACTTATTCCGACCATTGAGAATGTTCTTATTACCCGCTTGTAAAAGTAAGAACATATCTTTTACCGGGAAAATCCTTTGCAGAAATATAAAAAAATGTCGCGGTCGCACTGATATGCCCACAAGACTTCTGATCCACGTGGCAAACACCAACGTATAAGATGAACTTAGAGTACGGGCGGAAAGTCATGAAAAATGCCGAAATTTGCGAACGATTGATAATCACTCGCAAACCGGCATTAAGTAGGGTTGCAGTCTGCTTATCACGCAGCCTAATCTCAAATCATTTCAGTCGCGTTAGGCTGCCGACTTTTTAACGAACTTCACTCTGACCGCCGACAAAAATATATCCCGTAAAAGATGGCTGCTTCTGCGGTACGTATTTAACTCATTGGTCTTCACTGCCACCATACATTTAAATATATTTTGATGATAAAATACACGAAAATATTCGTCCTTGTACTCGCTTGGTAGAAAATTACACATTCCTACACATTTTTATACTTCGGTTTTACAGAAAATTTTAGTTATGAGGTTTGGTACGATTGTGAAACCTTCACCGTACACCACATCCTTAACTTTATTAATTTTGCCCATAATGTATACAGCATAATCCACATCTATTGCAAAATTTAATGAGAACTATGCGACTTTTCCCTCAAACGGTAGAGAAGAACTTAATTTTCCATAGGCAGAATGTGCATAGCAT